TTTAAAACTTATGCTAACCTAGGGAAGGGAAGAACCTGGTGATTCTCACCCAATAATTGGTGGCTTACACAATTCCATCCATTGTCAAGAGCAGAGGGTGCCAACAGGTAGGACCATCCTAGTACCTAGCTGTTATCTGAGATGCTTCTTGGTCCTTAAGTTTAGTTGCTTCCATCTGTACAATGGGTGTGCGTATGGAGTGGTAGTTCTACTGGAAAAACGGCCTTGAAAATTACCTCAGCTCTTGTATGGCCAGGAGAAGAATTCAAGCAAGATGCAAAGATTCAGTAAAAGTAACAGTAAAGTTTATTATGAAAAGGTACACTTTCAACAGACTGTAAGCAAGTTGTCTTTAGAGTGAGAACAATGATCAGGTTTTAAGGTTGGAGTATTTATCGAGAAACTCGTAGCTTTGGGTCATTTTTGGCCCCTGGTGTGATTTCCTGGGTTTGGGTCATTGTCACTGAGTCATCTGCTAGTTCCTGCTCTAATTGATGGAGAATTTTTGTTTGAAATTCCTAACCTTTGCTCTATCTAGCTCTTTGCTTTGGCTTTTTGTTTTGTTAAATTCGCTTGTGAAAACCTCTCTGTGACAGACATCATGTTTAGGAAGTAGATTACTACAGGGCAAAGGGTGGATTAAGCTTTAGGGTCTTGTCTAACTTCAAAGCATCCTGTGATAGACTCTCAGCTCTGGCCACCTGATCCTAAATAGAGATTGGTGGAGTTGGGAAGTTGAATTACAATGATTTCTTCCTTTCTTCCTCCTGTGGCCACCACTTGTGCCTAACTGCTACCTATCAGTAGGGGATGTGTTCTAAGTAGTTCTCTTGTCTTTAATATGGTAGTGTTGCAGGCACGTGTAATCTTTGATCAGAAGATTTCTGAATTCTTGTGTGCGGCATGGAAGCATCCTCGTAAGATATGCAGATATAGTAAGTGAGGTAACAGAGTTTATTAATGGTTAAGGAAAGGCATCACAACAGTGGACCAGGTGGGATGGAAGCAGGGAAGGGCGCAGAGAGCAGGCTTTCTGTTTCAAGACATTTAAACCCAGAATGACCTGTGGGAGTGGGAAAAGAACTGGGCAGCTCCTGCTCACCAATAATCCCAGAGTCATGGGCTAGTGAGGGGCAGAGCTGGCATGCAAACCTGGCTGTCTGCATTATGAGAAACACGCTCACCCGTCCACACTCAAAGAATGGACTCAGAGATGCTGGAGTACAGTGAAAGCGAGACTTTAATGGTGAACCTGCAAGATCAGGGGCCTGGTGAGCAGACACACTCAAAGAGGTTACAACAAGCATCATATTGTCTAGTGCACAAGTCCCTACCCTAGTTCCTCACTGGCTTAGTCCTATGGGGTGTACAGTCTTTCCCATACATTGCCTAAATTTCCTATTGGGTTATTTTAAACTATGCCTCTCTTGGGATTGGTCAAATTCTAGAGGTGAGCTTTAGGTGGTACCTGCCTCTTTTGTGGCAGGAAGGTCTCCCTGTGACATGTGCCTTCTGGCACATACAGTTTTTACCCATTTCCTCATTCTATTATGATTTATCCCTCCCAGTTTAAGTTCCCTTGTCAGCTGCTCCTTCCCCAACATCTGCAAGCTGATCCACAAGCAAGTGGTCAGGGTTAAATGCCTTGCCTCAAAAATGGACCACCACTGACTTTATTTTTAACATGCGTCCAGGTCCCTCCACAGGTAGCATTCAAGGAAAGAGCAAGTTGACACTAAAGGCCCTTTCAGTTAAATGCCAACCACTACCAACTGGAAGTCAGGTCAGCCTTCAGGTCTTCCTACATGCCTCCCTCTTAGACGCTGACCTGACGCATGACAGATATCTGCCATGTAGCCTCTCCTCTTCCTGCTGTGGCTTTGAAATAGAACCCAGCTCTAACATGATCTTTTACTTATCGATGATGTGTCTTTGGACAGGTCATTTGTCTTCTCTGAGCCTCTTTTATTCATCTACAAAGTGGAGTGTTATTATTAATTATTATTATTGACATTTAAATAACACTGACTGTGTGCCAGGCATGGCTCTGTGCATTTCACATTTGTCAGTCTATTGAATCTTTAAATTAATTCTTTGGAAACGTTGCAGAAGCAACTGAGGAACACTCAGAGCTTATAAAACTGGCCACTGGACATAGCTAATGAGTGACAGAATGGGGACTGGACCCAGAGTCTGGAGGTAACAATTCCTGCTCTGTGCACTCCATGGGGAGATGGTAAGGGTCTTGTGAAGATTGACTCATGGATTCCCTTTTCTTCTTGCTACCCTCAGAGGGCTGTTGTGAATTGAGTAGTTTCACATAAAGCACTCAACGTGCAGGTGGGAACATGCACTGGCAGGGTGTTTTTGTGCTTTGTTGTCACTGGGGCCAGCTCAGTGCCAGTTGTGTAGCAAGCCCAACTCTGTCTTGAGTGTATAACACAGGCCTTGTGGATAAAGAAGGACCAAGGCTTGGGCCTTGAGGAGTCAGAGGGGAAGTGATCAATGTGCTGTGTGTTAGAATGAGAGAGGCGGACAGGAAATGTGGTTCCATTGGTAGAGCGCCTGCTTTGCAAGTGTGAAGCCCTGAGTTCAAACCACCACACACACACACACACACACACACACAAAGAATGAAGGAGGCAAAGGGTTTATTATTGCTCAGGAGGGATCCCTTCAGAGGGAGTCCCCAGCAAGAGAGCTCTTACAGACTTGGAGTAGATATAGGGGAGCGGTCTAGAAGAAAACCCCACTGGGTTGGTAAATTCTTCTGGAGTGGAGTCAACCATCACAAGGGGAAGCTAGAGGAGATGAGAGTGGTAATTAGGTAGATAAATTTCTCAGCTCTGGACCCCCTGGTGAGGTGGTGGCTTGTCATTTCCTTGAGGCTAGCTGTGGTGCTTCCAGTGGGTGGTAGGGTGTCAGTAAGCTGCCTGCAAGGGTGGGGGGGTCCAATTCTATGACTTCTTTTTGTTCAACCTAACACTGTGGACCTAGACAGAGGGACAGAATGAGTGGGCAGGGATCAAAGGGATGAGGAATGCTCCAGAGGAGGTGGTCTTTCAGATAAAGCAATACCACCAAACTCTCACCTGTGCTAGGTCTCCTCTTAGGGACTTTGCGCACAGAAGGACATCTTCTCCTCCCAGGAGCCTGGGTGCCATCGTTTCTGCCTTCTTTTAAAGGTGAAGACACTGAGGCGTAGAGAGGTTAGGAGACTTGCCTAGGTCACACAGCCCATGGGTTACATACACTGGCATTGAGACACTCACCTTTACATCACCATCCTGCCAAATCCGTGTGCTGCTTACATTTGGATTTCCTTAATATTTAAGTTAACTCATTTTTACCTAAATGAATGAAAAACAAACTGTGTCACTGCATTATAGGACAGAAAACTAGTATGGATGATAAATAAACACCATGAAAATAAACATTAAATTTCCTCTAGACTCAGGCATCTGCTAAGAATGTCAAATTCAAGGCTTATTCTGTTGAAAGGGGAGATTTCAAGTGTGGAAAGGGATTAAAGTTACATTAGCACCAAACTGAGACTTTCTTATTGGTGTATCAGAGCTGAAAAAGAAGTAAGAAGGCAATAACTCCCTTGCCTTGTGATAGAAAGTGATTTAGGGGCCCCTGCATCCCCTAAAATCTCTCCTGGAGAGACCTCCTGGCTCAGATCAGACTGAGGAGACAGTCTTCAATGCTAGCTTCTCTGCTTGCTGGCAACCTGGTCTCCAGCTAAGGATCTAAGATTTTGTTTCTTCACTGATAAAATGCTGTACTTGTTGGCAATAATGGCGCCGACAGGTTTCAGTTCTTACTGCACCCTTAAGCTCCTGTTTTCCAAGGTCACGGTCCTGCCTCCCAGGGTCACAGTCCAGCCTCAAGTCTAGCTTGAATCCTCCTTCTGCTCCAACCTCCAATCAGCATGAACCATAAGATCCTAACCAATCAGATCATGCTGAGTCCCACTGAGGGGTATTTAAGCCCCTGCCCCTCTCTCCCTCTCTCTTGGCTCTCTCTGCTCTCTCCCTCTCCCACCCAGCAATAAAGAATCTCTTGGCCAGATCACTCCTCTCCACGTGGTCACTTTTGGGGCCCACATTTCCTTACAGTACTTCACACAGACCTTGATGACACATGAGAAAATGCAGGAAAACACAGAGCCTATCAGAGCAGGTGATAACCTAAGCATTACCATCATTATTACTGAGCCTCCTCACAGGTCCCTGGACTTTTGTTGATGGTGTTAGTTGAGGAGAGAGACAGCAGACACAAGCTGGGCATGTGGCTCATGCCTGTCATTCCAGCTACTCAGGAGGCAGAGACTGGGAGGATTGTGGTTCAAGACCAGCCTGGGCAAAGTTCCCAGAACCCATTTGAACCAATGACTGGACGTGGTGGTGCTGTGCACCTGTCATTCCAGTTACACAGGATTACAGTCCAGGACAGCTCGGAAATGAAGCAAGATAGCAAAAATAAATAAATAAGTAAAACATAACCAAAACAACACAAATAACCAAAGCAAAAAAGGACCGGGGCGTGGCTCACGTGGTATAGTAGCTGCCTAACAAACGTAAGGCCCTGAATTCAAACCCCAGTACCTCAAAAGAAAAAAAGCAAACACAAAGCGGTTACTCTATGCTATATGACACACACTTATTAGGAACTATTATTACCATTATTATCTGCAATTTAAACTATTATGATACTTTGTAATTATCCCTACATTTTTCTTAAGGCATCACGGTATCTTCCAGGGACTGCCCTCTTGGCTTCTGCTGCTCTAGTGTCCAGAGCAAACCGGAGCCCCACCCCTTGCCCCGCCCCCGCCCCGCCCCACCTCTTGCCCCGCCCCCTCTCCGCCCACAGCGTGTGCTGTAGCCACGCCCCCGACGCAGCGCCTCTCCAGTTCGCCCCCGCCCGGAGGGACTCCCCTTCGGCCGTCGCCCTGACGTCACAGGCCTGCGCCGCCCGCGGCGCGGACGGAAGGTCGTTTCTGTGACCGGCTGGGCGGTTGGAGCAGCAGTCGCCATGTTGTCGGTCGCCGCCCGCTCGGGCCCTTTCGCGCCCGTCCTGTCGGCCACGTCTCGCGGGGTGGCGGGCGCGCTGCGGCCTCTGGTACAGGCCTCGGTGCCCGCCGCCCCGGAGCCGCCCGTGCTGGACGTGCGGCGGCCTTTCCTGAGCCGGGAGTCGCTGAGCGGCCAGGCCGCGGGTGGGCCTCTGGTCGCTTCCGTGGGCCTCAACGGTGAGCCAGTTGAGGGTGGGGATTCCCCCAGGATCCGGGATGTAGGGAGGTGGGGCCGAGGTCTCGGGCGTTCTCCGCGTGCGCCCCGCGCCCAGGCCGACCTCGCACCCCGCCCTGTGCATCCGGGTACTTGACCTTGGCGGGCGTGCAGACGTCCGTCTTGCCCCCGCGAAGTGCGTCCGTGGCCACTCCAGAGCCCTCGGGATGAAGGCTTAACAGCCTGGACCCTCAGTAAAAACGCACGTGCCCGTCAGCGACCCCCAAAACCTCAAGCACACTCCCCTGGAGTCACTTCGGGTGCGCAGGGTCACCAAGGACAGGCGGGGGTTGGCTGTGGTAGTGTGCCTTCCAGATGAGCACACAGATCGCTGGACACGCACCCTAAGCAGCAGACCCCGGTTCACCCTGGGCCCTCGTGTCCCTTTGTCTCTGTGTGCTCTAAATGGAAAGTGAGAGGCGACCCGTGAGCACCGTGCTCACAAGGCTCACCGTTCGTGTTGACCAAGTGGGAGGACTTGTGGGGTCTCCCCAGACAGAACAGCCGTCTGTACTCTGGTGAAAGTCTCGGCGTGCTGCCCACGGGGTGCTGCTCCCACATGCATCTCGACTGCGATCTCACCAGGCCTGCTCCTTCCCTTGTGCTGTCTGCTTGGCCCACTGACATCTGTGTTTGTGACCCTTCTAACACACTGACCAAGGTGCCTCTTGGGGCAGGGCAGCTGTGCACTCTGCACTCAGCCACCCTGTTGTGCATTTTCCCAAGTTTTCCTCCAGTCTTGCCTTTCAATTGCAATTTGGTGTCAGGTCAATAAAACTACTTGTGTTCGCTGATTGCTTTATGTTCTAGCATTAGCCCTTTCCACTCTGCACTGTATTCATTGGTGGGTCTTCTGACCTTGGGCTTCAGATACAGAATGTCTCCTCCGTTTTGTGTCCCACAACTTCGGATTCTGTATACAGGTGGTGCAGAATGTTCGTTAAGGACTAGGGGTGGGCTTTGGAGAAACTGTCCAGGGCAAGATAGAGTGCCTTCGCTCGCCTGCCCTGTCCAAGTCTGCACTTGGCACCAGGAGGAGAAACAGGAAAGGAGGAGAAATTTTCAATAGCAAAGATGAAAAGCACCTCTAGAGTTTGTCCTGTGGCTCAAGGTTTCTCAGAAAAACTGGTGGCTTACCTGCTTTGTGGAAACATTTTTCCAAAGCAGACAAATAATGTAGAACCATGAGACAGAAAAGGTCTTTTCTGTCATCATGTCTTGAAGCTAAGCTGAAGTTCCCACAAAAACGTGCCAGATTGTTTATGGGAAGAAGGGAAGAGACAGTGGAGGAGAGAGGCTGGATCAGGGGACCATCTTTGTGCTGGGGGTAAGTTTGCACAAGGGTAGCGTGTTTTTCATACAGGTTTCTGAAGCACATCAGACCTCACCTTACAGTAATTGTTAAAATGTCTTAGATTTCCTCCATTTTGAGGTGATAATTCCGTTAGTATCCATCTTTAGGTTAGAGCCTGAAAGTCAGACCTAGTACAGCTCAGTCGTTTAGAGTGACCTTTGCAACATGGTAGTTTAATTTCCAAGGTTTCTGACTGTCTAGCCCAAAAGTGTAACGTGCTAGGTGAAGAGAAGTACACAGTTGGATTTCTTTGGTCACCAAGTCTGAATGTTCTTAGGCATTGTTTTGTGTGCTGTTAAGATTAGCCATTGTGGATACTGCTTTTAATGTAGAAGTGTGAACTTGCATCCTTTCTGTTAGGTATGAAGCATATGTCATGCACTGACATGGGAAAGTAACTCATGTTTGATTCCAAATGCCCGTCTACAGTGTCAGGCCAGCGACAGGTAGTGTCACTTTGATTCCACAAAACAATAGTTGTGAAGCTTAGCTCACCACTGACAATGTCTGGTCTTCTCCAGAAAATCACAGTTAGTCAGTCAGAAAAGTACAGAGTGATCTTGTTAGGTTTCATCCTTGTTAATGAATACGTGTGGCTTCCATAAAGTCACTGACCTTGCAGATCAGTGAAGAAAAGTTGAAGTGCTGTGTGTGGCAATATTGGCTACTCCAGGAGGTATGCTGGGATGAGAGCCTCATAGACTAAGGAAGAAGAGCAGCTTATTGAATGGAAATGTATTTTATGAGCAGATCATTCTTTTGGAAGCCACACCTTTGTAAAAGTGAGGAAATTTAGCATCCTCTTTTCTAAACACAAAATTTTGTGGTATATTTCCTAAAACAAATATATAACTTGCAGAAAGATTTACTCCTTAAAGCATTCTTAGAGGTGATGCCTTTAAGAGTTTTTTTTTTGTCAGACATTTACAAATGGTATGGGAGAGAGGACATAATGCTTTTCAAAAAAAAAAAGAAAATTACTTACTACAAAAGTCTATGTAGGCAGTAATTCTTTACTGAACATCCATGTGGCACAAAGACATGACCTATTTTATGACCTCCAGTAGAAGTGTCCTATTTGAGGCTCACCGTACTGAAGAAAAGAGTGACGTTTTGTAGACTCTACTGCCCCTTTCTGAGGAGGGAACCAGGTGAAAATTTTCTTTTGTTCTCTTCTAAATTAATTAGTTCTTTTACACATTTCATTTTGAGAGCTGCCTATTACAAAGCTGTAGTTCTCTGTCCATTGGTGGTTTTACTTGAAGATAAAGTAATACTAATTTATACCTTAGAGTCTAAAGTAGAAATCCTTACTTTCCTGCAGCTAAGGCATACTAACAGGTGACAGAATATTTTATGAGTTTTTAGCAGTTCTTCCAGAGAGCACATAGTTAGGGAAAGAAGGTTAGACATTTGCTGATAAGAAGACCACACATCATCCTACCAGCAGACTAGATGAGTGTTGGGCTCTTTTTTAGTCCAGAGAATATGAGCAGTGTCCTGCATGTTTGTATAGTATAACCTAGCAGGTGGATTTTCAGAAACAAACACCGCCTATTACCTCAACGCCCTGAGACGTTACATGTCCTGGATTAGCGGCGTTCACCCGCCCAGGAGGAGCTCAGTTGGCAAATACAGCCTGGTGCTCTTACCACACAATGTGACTGGTGGAAGTACCTCACTGAAGTAAAGTACTTGGTAAAGTCTGTTTCCTGTTGCAGATGCCTTGCAGGGCACTTGGCTAATTGTATTTTTACCTTGTGCTTGCTTTGCAGTCCCTGCTTCTGTCCGTTACTCCCACACAGATGTCAAAGTGCCCGACTTCTCTGACTATCGCCGCACGGAAGTCTTGGACAGCACCAAGTCTTCTAAAGAGAGCGTTGAGGCTAGAAAGGGCTTCTCCTACTTGGTGACTGCCACAGCTGCTGTGGGCGTTGCCTACGCTGCCAAGAATACCGTAGCGCAGTTCGTCTCCAGCATGAGCGCCTCTGCGGATGTGCTGGCCATGTCGAAAATCGAGATCAAGTTGTCTGATATTCCAGAAGGCAAGAACATGGCCTTCAAGTGGAGAGGCAAGCCCCTGTTTGTGCGCCACAGAACCAAGAAGGAGATTGAGCAGGAAGCTGCCGTTGAGATGTCCCAGTTGAGGGACCCCCAGCATGATTTAGAACGCGTCAAGAAGCCTGAGTGGGTTATCCTGATAGGGGTTTGCACTCATCTTGGCTGTGTGCCCATTGCAAATGCAGGTGATTTTGGTGGCTATTACTGCCCTTGCCATGGGTCGCACTATGACGCGTCTGGCAGGATCAGGAAGGGGCCTGCGCCTCTCAACCTCGAGGTTCCCTTGTATGAGTTCACCAGCGATGATATGGTGATCGTTGGTTAGAGACTTGGACCCAAGGCCAGGCTGCTTTCAGTCTTCATGTCACCTCGGGAGACCTGAGCAAGCCTTGCACATCCAGGTCGGTTGATTGGAATATTTAAGAGTTGTCGATAATGTAACTGCAAACATAAATGTGAAGTTAATTGAGTTTAATGTTGAGTATTTCCAAGCATTCACTTAATAAAGCCACTGTTAAACATTGTTAAGCTCAGTCACAGACTTGAAAGGTGCAATGTCTTTGATAGCTAATTCTAATTAAAAATTACAGACTGGTGTATGAGATATTTGTGAAATCTGTAATTGACTTTCTCTTTTGCTTCTTCTCCAAGTGTTTGTTTCCTGCTTTGTATCAGGGACACAGATTCTACAAAACTCATGTTAGGATGAGGCAGGTTTAGCTGGTCATCTCCAAGGCCTGGGATATATTTTCCCTTTGTTCATGGGACTCAGAGCCCTGACTGTTTTCTCTCCCTTGTGTAATCTGTATGGTGGTGTTGAATGAGGTGTTTGGGAAAGAGTCCTGAAAAAGGTGTTAGTGGCTTAGGACTTTGCTCCAGGTCTGGCTAGCTGGTTACCTGTCTGTGTTTCAGGCAGGAAGTTGTTCTGTCTCTTGTGGGAGTAATTTAGTACTTATTTTAAGAGGGACTAGTGACCCAGGCAGCCTGGGCTACAGACTGAGCAAAGAGACAGTGCTGGGATTTTACCCGAGAGAAGCTTTTCCGGAGGGATTGCTGCTCTTCCTCCCTTCACCTGGCATTGTGGGTGTTCATCCCCCCAGTCCTGAGTCCACCCTATGGAGGCAGAAATGGAGCAGTCTCCATGTGAACATGACCCTGCTGGTTTGTTTCTCTGGTAATGACATTTGGGCGTTCATTCCAGTGGGACCCACAGCCACTCAGCACTTCCCTGTGAGGAGGTGGGGTGGGCACAGAAGAGGATAGAGAATGGCCTCCTGCCTGGTTGTGGGACCTGGCACAAGGTCTGCTGTCCTCCCTGCAGAAAGGGGTGGGCCTGGCCCTTTGTTTAGCATCGTGCCACTTTTTGATGGACTTGTCTTGCCTTGGCTGTTTGGAGGTGAGTCAACAGTGTGGGTACTTTAGTGCAGGCCACTTGGCACTAACCACTTTTGCACTTGTGAAATACAAAGTAGACTTGGTTGGTTTTGTCAAAAGGGAGCTGACTGTCCAAGGTATATTATCATTTTGTTACATTTTTTTAGACTTATTTTACTGATGTTTTACTTAGAAACTTTCATTCTGTAGATGAGAGTAGTGTTATTTTTGTATAATACTCAATGTCAGGTTTTAATACTACATTTACACATAGTTCATAAAGTGAATAGTAGAACTTATATTCCTACCTCCCCTTTCTCTGGAGCTAAGGTCCCTCTTATGAAGAGAGGCATGAGTTGAAATTTTAGATGTGCAGATGTAGAAAAAGGCAGATTTCACATTCTCACCCTAGAAGGAGCAAGTCTGTGAAATGCACTAACTTCCCCCCCCCTCAATTAAGGAACCAAGGTTTTGTTTGCCCTTTAAAAACACATGAAAAATCTGTTAAACACTTTCATTTCCCACCCTTTGCAGATAATTCTAATCAGGTAAGGATTTCAAAAGTCAGGTGACTAAGCTTTTACACTCAAATTGATCAAAGTTTAGGATAATAGCTGCAAAAATATAAAGCACACTTCATTGAATTTGGGATTTTCAGCTCACTGATAGACCAGTCTTACGCTGATCATGCTGGAGGAGTTATTACAAAGATAGTGCTGATGCCCCTTCACAAAATTAATTTTAATCTTGTGCTGTAGACCAGCAATTTCGATCTATAATAATGTATTTTATAAGCATTCTCAGAAGCAACCACTTGAACAGCCTTTTGTGGAGTATTTAGGTCTCCTTTAAGTGTCAGGACTAGAAACCATCTTAACCTCAAATTCCTGGCAGTGCTGTGCCAGGAATATTCTTAACGGCCAATAAATAGTGCTGAGTATTGGAAAAAATAATCCTCAATTCTTCCTATCTCAGGGAATTGATCAATTCACCTGCTTGGTAGAATTTTTTCTCTCTAGTCTAAATGCTTCCCTCCTCTGTCCCAGGATGGAAAGTCAAGGAGATGTGAAATGATAGAAGTAAAACATGTCCATCACACTTGGGTTTTAGACAGAAAACCCTACAGGATGGACCTTTTGATGTTGAAATCTCTCACAGGCAGAAGAATGCTCACTGGGAAGCAAACAAATAAGTAAACTCAGCTTTTAAAGATCCTGAATTCATTATTGTTTTTATTTTCCCCCAGGAACAAAAATGTAGATTTCAATCCAAAATAGTACGTAATACTTCACCCCTTAAAAATAAAGCCTTAGAAAAATAAGACACAAGGACATTATATGATTGCTTCCTTTAAATATTAGGCCTGAACTTTATAAAATACTCTCTGGAAAATGTCCCTGTCTAATGACTCAGAAATTCACTGCCACAGCCTCATCAACACCCAGTGGCTGAGTATTTGCCATGGTCTGCAGTGTCCTGGGTCTGGTGGTGGGGACACGGACCAGGAAAGTGAGCTCCAAAGTAAAGGGAGGCATAGATGCCCCAGGGAAGAGATGGAAAGTGAGTGTTCCTGAAGGTACTTCACCCACACCGACTTCTGAAGGCAGGCGGAGGACACCTTACCTAAGGGAAGAAAGGAAGGGAGAGCAAGAAAGGAGCACACAGGTGGTGAGTAGGGATCTCTGTCACTGACACAGGACTCACTGGTTGGACACCAGTTCCATGTCAGGGAGTTCTGATGTCATCCTGTGACATTTCATGCACAGTTCCTCAACCCTGAGAGGTGACTTCCAGATGTAGTAAGGGAGGCAGGTCATACAACAGGCAGAGCCAGGATTGAACCCAGAACTAATCTACTCTTAACCTGGCAGGATGGACTTCTATGTGATCAAGATTAGAGGAGATTCCTGTTTGGGATTATAGGCCAGGCAAGAGCTGACAATTTAAGTACAGGTAGTACAGGTGCCAGTCAGCCCCATGGACTCCATTCCCTGGGTTAAAGGACTGTGTAGGCTCCATGCCTGTTTCTCCATGTAAACTAGGAATATAACATCACCTAGTGGATTTTTCTGAGGATTAACTGAGATCACTTGACTTAGTAACTAGGAATCAGTGCTCAAAACTTCAGCCAGTATGAGACTGCTACAGGTGACAGATGGCGATGAACTTTATACTAAGATTGAAATGAGTAGGTCTTGGGGGCTGACTTGGCCCCGGGAGAGGAGGTGATGGAAAAGGTGTTTAGCTTGCCTGGTGGGACAAGGAAGGCCAGCAACTACGATGAAGAAGCTGGATTATTGGGAAGAGATGGCTTTTCTTTCCCTTTAGGGGTTAAAAGGACATCTACACACAGGCACCTCAGGGAAGTGACATAGGGCAGCCATTAGCAAGTAGGCAAGAATAAAACGTGTGTGATGCAGTGGGCCAAGGTTGCACTCTCAAAAGTAGACATTTATTTTGGGTTCGTATGTAAATGACTATATATATTTTTTGATGGTATTGGGGTTTGAACTTGGTCTACACCTTGAGCCACTCCACCAGCCCTTTTTCTCTGACAGGCTTCTTTTGAGATAGGGTCTATGAACTATTTGCCTTGGCTGACTTTGAACCTCAATCCTCCTGATCTCTGCCTCCTGAGTAGCTAGGATTACAGGTGTGAGCCACCAGAGTCTGACTCACAATGAAATTCAGATGACAAAAATAAAGAGAGATTTAGTGCTTGGAGAATGAAGAATGACTTCTGACATTAAGATAAATACTGTGCTGCCCCTGTAGGAAAATGAGTGTAAAAAAGCACATTTTGATCTGAAGTCATAAATACCATATACGGATAAGTGCCCTTAATACACTCAGAACACAGCAAAGATTTTACAAAGGTAAAGACCAAAGTAAATTTGGTGTTTTCTCTAAAAATGTTGCAAAATTTTCAAAAGCCCACTTTCTAGGCATATGAAAAGACTTGTGGCTCAAGCTTGTCCCCAGAATTACTCATAGTGAAAAGCAGTATGGGTTAAGGACCTCATGTCAGGAGGCCACCTGGCCAGACGTCTTCTAAGTCATTCCCCCCAGAATCTAGGGTTTCCGTAGAACAAGTCAGAAGGTAACTTAGGTCTGTCTATCCTTTTAGCACAGGTGACGAAGTGTGCCACCAAAGCTGAGTGTTATAGGACTTAACAATACCCCATCAGGAAACCCAGAATTCCAGCTAGGGAGGAGACAGAGGTATGAAGGTTGAGGTCTGAGGAGAACCCCAGGCAAAACACGAGATGCTATCTGAGAAATAAACTGAAAAGCAATAAAAGGGCTGGAGGCATGGCTCAAGTGGTAGAGCACGTGCCTAAAGCAAACACAAGTTCCTGAGTTCAAACCCCAGTACCCCAAAGATAAAGAATGACAAGGGGGAATGTTATCTTTACAATGTGTGCTATGGCTTGAAGGCCCCCTCCAAAGCTTCTGCTGGGATTTCATTACAGTTGAGATGGCAGAAGAGACAGACCCTTAAGTGTAATTAGGTGATCAGGCTAGACCCAAATACAGAAAAACAGGATCGAATTGAACAGGGAAAGAACAGCTTAGTTAATAACCAGATTAATGCCACTACAGCAGGAGTGGGTTAGCATTCAGGAACTGAATATCTGATCAAGAGCCCCACCCTCTCTCTCTGTCTCACTCTGGCTCACTTGCCCTTCCTCCCTGTCAGGAGGCCTTTGCTGGACTCCAGCCTCCTGAGTTAGAAGCTGAACAAACTTATCTATAATGTACACAGTTTGGGGTTTTCTGTGATAGCAGCAGGAAAGGGAAGTAAGACAATCTGTAAGCCACTCTTTTTAAAAAATAATAAAAATTTTTTATTAGCATATAATAGTTGTGCAGGGGGATGCATTGTGATATTTACATATGTGCTTACAGTATATCTTGGGGGGGGAGAGATGGTGGGAATGATCTAACCAATGTATAATATAAGCCTATTTGGAAATGTCACAATGAATCCCCTCTGTACAACAAATATATCCTAATAAAAATTTAAAAACCAATGTATCGTAATTGGATTCACCTCTTTCATCTTTTTCTTCCCATCTTAGAACAATTTCAACAGTTTTCTTTCTTCTCTTTTCATATGTGGATACAAAATACATCCACCATATTCACTCTCATTCCCCCTTTCCTTGTGCCCAACAAACTTCCACTGGTGCCCACTCTCCGAAAAGAGCTGTGGTTCCTCCTGTCAATATACACATTTTTTAAAAGTGTATATTGATAGTCTGAGAGGGTTTCACCTTGGTCCTTCAGGTCTGTATATATCACGCTTTCATCAGATTACACCCCCATTACTTGCTCTTTCTCTATCACCACGCTCCCTAATACTCAACAACTCACAGTACCGTGCATTGTATTCTATTCATATAGAGACGGGTTGTTTTAATATATTTCATTCTCTACCATTTTCTTTCCCTCTCCAGCATCCTATAGTCTCCTCAGACAGATGCATTAAACGACGTTGTTCTCTCTTTCATTCTCTCTCTCTCTCTCTCGTATATCTACATATACATTTATTCTCACATATGTGTTTATGTGTGTCTGTATATTACAGGTCTAGCTTCTACATAGGATGGAAAACGTGACCTTTGACTTTCTGAGCCTGGCTAACTTCACTTAACATAATGTTCTCCAGTTCCAGCCATTTACTTAAAACAACATAATTTCATTCTTCTTTATGGCTGAATAAAACTCCACTGTGTATATATCCCACATTTTCTTAATCCATGATCAGTCGTGGGGCATCTGGGCTGTTTCCAAAGCTTGGCTATTGTGAACAGTGCTGCTATAAACATGGGTTTATATAACATGGGTGTGAGCGACTCTCCAGTAAGACTGTCCTATGTCAGTGTCCTGCATACAGGGCAGTGCCTGGAACAGAAGTGCTAAATAAGCATTTGTTTAATGAACGTGACCAAAACCATGTAACCATGAATACATTAAAAAAAAATAAGGCACAGGACTGACTTATGTGAAAAAAGTCTCCATCAGGATCCAAATAAACAGCACGTCTTCAAATGGGGTTACTTAGTTTCCTCAAAAAAGACTTCCTTCTCCCTGACTGGGTGTGGTGTTGCACACTTATGGTCCCAGCACTTGGGCAACTGAGACAGGAGGATTGTGAGTTCGAGGTCAGCTGAGCTAATATAACAAGATCCTGTCTCATATGAGAATAACAAGAAGAAGTCTTCCCAAATCAATCATGAAATTAATGAACTCCTAATTTGAATCTTTACAGCATTTTAAAAGTTTTTTTCCTTTATTTTGTTTAGTATAAAATGATTACAAAGAGCCAGGTACTAGTAACTCACACCTATAATCCTAGCTACTCAGGAGGCAGAGATCAGGAGGATCGTGGTTCAAAGCCAGACTGGGGCAAAGAGTTCTCAAGACCCTAACTTGAGAATACCTAACACAAAACAGGGCTGGTGGAGTGGTTCAAGTGGTAGTGTCTGCCTGGCACCTGTGAGACCCTGAGTTCAAATCCCAGAACCACTAAAAAAAAAAAAATGACTACAAAGTCATTTGGACTAAGTGTCCAGGAAAAGTCAAGCACAGATGAAAACAAACAGGGATTTGCTTCAGCTATGAAAAGGCACAAAATCATTGTAATCAAATTAATATGATGGTGACAGCTACTGGAGCAGAACTGGGTCAGAATTAAGTCTCGGCATTTGAGAACTACATACAGAAACACAGGATTCGATTCAACAGGAAAAGAACAGTTCATTTAATAAATGGTGTGGGCCAAAACGCATCTCCATCTGCAAGAAAATAGAGTTGCAGCCCAGCTCTCATCATGCTTAAAAACAAGTTCTACAGGGAAGTATTTATGCCCGTGAAAAAATTGCAAGAGGATCTTGGGAAGGGAACGTATAAGCTAAGCGTGAGAAAGACCGTCTTCATGACAGAACTCTTAAACCTACTGCAGGAAAGCTAGACCTTTTTATGTTTTTTTAAATCATGCATTGCAAAATATATTAGCCAAATCAAATGACAATAGATTTGTAAAAAAATACAAAAATTTAATCAGAGGGCTGCAGGCTTGGCTCAAGCAGTAGAGTGCCTGTATCACACCATGAAGACTTGATTTCAAAACTCAGTACCACCAAAAAAAAAAAAAACTAATCTGAATGAAAGAATAATGATATCTATAGTATATAGAGAAGCTTACAAATTGACAAGAAAAGGACAAAAGCCCAAAGATTGGGGAAAAGAATCATAAGTAGAGTCACTTATTAGAAAAAAAAAGTGTATATGAGTGACTAACAGATGAGACAGTTGAAGCCTCCTAGTTGTCAGAACCATGGTGACAAGGAGATGTCACTTTCCATCTATCTGATGGGCACAGCTTCAAAGATGTTATTACATCTTTTGTTGAGTACGAGAGAGGAAGGACATGCCACACACCGATGCCCTAAATAGGAGGTTGTTTTAATATGTTTCTTCATGGGGGCACTGGGGTGCAGCTCAGTGGTAGAGAGCTTGCCTGGCATGCATGAGGCCGGGGTTCGATTCCCAGTACTGCACACACAGAACACACGCAGACATGTATTTATGCTGTGCATGTGTGTGTGGGCACAGCAGTTCCTCCCGTAGGAATAAAAGAACACAGAAAAATGAGTGTACAAAAATGCTTGTTTCAGTGACGTTCTAGTGACAGAGCGGCCCTGACAAAGAACAGTAAGAGAATGTATAAAAGTGTCTCTATGGGATTTCATGGACGTAGAGCAGGTGAAAGGATTACCAGGTGTTCTGAGTATGAGTTATCCAGAGATCAAGGTGGTTATGAAGAGGGCAGGGTTGGGGAGGAGAGTGGGGTGCATAGACACAAGCTGACAAGAAGAAGAAATGTCACTGCCTGCCACCTGCCCAGCATGGATGGCAGCTGTTTTGTAACGTTGTATGAGTGTATGTGTATGCACACATGTGCACATATACCTGTATGTACCTATGTGTATATATATGTCACAGTAAGCCTAAAACAATGAAGAAAAAGTTATGTCCGGATCTCTAGAGCCCAGAGCTGTCTATGTTGACATTTCTCTAAATTACTTATTTTTCTGTGTGTGTGGCACTGGGATTTGAACTCAGGTCCTCACGCTTGCTAAGCAGATGCTCCACCGCTTGCCCCACTGCACCAGCCTTATGATGACATTTCTAAGTGAAAAAGAGCAAGTGACATAGAAAGTAGGTAAGATGGCTCTCTTTGGTAAAAAGCCACAAAAATGGCCTCAGTACATTTATGGCTGCTTTGCTACACACAGCTGGGTGGAGACCAGAGGTGGAGGAGCACTGGGTGCTGTCAGGATGGGTCCCCACTGGACAGCAGGGGTGTGTGTGTGTGGGGACATGGGACGGTGGGGATGAGGTTCTTCTTCTTGCAGATTTTAGTATCATGGAATTTCACCTGTGACAACAGGTCTGTGTTGCTTTATAATTTAGAAAGCTTGCAATTTCGTCTTCCTGGGGCTGGAGCTGGAGCTCATGGTAGATAGCCTGCCTAGTGTGTGCACAGCCCTGGGCTCCATCCTC